TGCCTAATTTCTTTACAGGTCTTCATATATATATAAAGTTGTACGGCTTTTACGCACCTCGACTAGTTGTTACTATATTATTTCATCTTTTTGAGCTTGTTTCCTGTGTTTGATAAGGATGACTTAATCTGTGTAGAGCAGTTATAATCAAGTAATTTTCTATTTTAATGTTCATCTTCTTGCTCTGTTTTTTTTCTTCTTTCTTGTGTTGAGACAGTTACGAAATCAGGGAAAAGGCATCAAAATATCGGGTTTCAATTCACGTGACGCACTATAAATTTTTAAACTTCTAAGTTTGCTAAGTAATAATTAACTTTGCCCTTTCTATTTTATCTTATTTACTTCACAAATTTTAAAATTCTTTCATTTATTTCATAGAATTTAATGCCAATTCAAATTATATAAAAGTCTTCGTTTATTTTTAAAATTTTAATATCAATTCAAAGTTATGTAACGTAAATCGAAACCGGCGAATGAAGTTGTAGAAAAGGAAGATAGATAGTATATATTTACCCCTTAGAGAAACAAGACATGGAAAACTCTGCTTTGACCCATTGGGCTGTTCTTCTCTGCTAGTTTCTTTAGTCATGCTCTTTTTATAATATGTAATTTGATGTAGCATGAACTTGGATCATTTGGTCGAGAATAAGTTATTTCACTATATATATATATATATGGGATAATTTATTCTATTAAAAAAATATAAATGGTGCGGTAAATAATTTTAAAACTGTCTAATACCTCCAACTAAACATGGGATAAAATAGTTCCTTGGATTATTATACCTTTTGCAAGTCACACGTGAATTACTTAGACTAGGAAGCCATGTTCCTTGTGAACATTTATGAATATTTACATCTAAATGATATTGTCTTGCGCATCTTTTTCCAGGTAAAAGAGGAAAATATATGTTCATCATTTTATCTTGATCAAGTTCCCTATTAGTGGAGTCACCTCCAAAGCCAAACAATGAAGAAGAAGAACAATAACAAGCCCTTAGGAATTCAATTGATAGAGCGCATAACAAAGTCGAGCCTATCTTTCAAGACATATCAAGTCATTGTTCTAATTGTGACATTTTTTGCATATACAAGTTACCATGCTAATAGAAAAACTACAAGCATCGTGAAACAAGCACTTGATCCTCAATCCCTTGGCATTGGTCCGATTTTTCCATGGCAAGGAAATAGTATTCGGAAATCAGTTATAGATGGTTGGTTTCCGTTTAATGGTCCTGATGGAACAACATTGCTCGGTGACCTTGATGTGGCTTTCCTATTTGTGTATGCCATCGGAATGTACTTCTCAGGGCACGTGGGTGATAGGATGGATCTTAGAGTTTTTTTGACCGCGGGTATGTTGGGAACTGGCTTATTTACAGCTCTTTTTGGAGTTGGATATTGGGCAAACGTCCATAGTTTCTATTACTATCTGATCATTCAAATGATTGCTGGATTGTTTCAATCCACTGGATGGCCATCAGTGGTTGCAGTAGTCGGGAATTGGTTTGGAAAGAAGAAGAAAAGGGGACTTATAATGGGCATTTGGAATGCTCACACCTCTGTTGGGAACATTACAGGGTCGTTGGTCGCCTCAATCTTATTGAAATATGGATGGGGTTGGTCAATGGTTGTTCCTGGTATCCTTATTGCTTTTAGTGGTGCGATAGTGTTCCTTTTATTACCCGTTCATCCTGAATCTGTTGGGGGTAATAAAGATGAAGATGAAGTGTTGTTATCTCCCGGGAAAGAAGACGATGAAGTGAATGAACAACCTCTCTTGAGGTCGAGATCAGACAGAGAAGAGGAAGCATGTGCAGTAGGTTTTATAGAAGCATGGAAGATCCCGGGGGTTGCAACCTTTGCTCTTTGCCTTTTTTTCGCAAAATTGGTGGCTTACACATTTCTCTATTGGCTGCCTTACTACATTAGCCACACAGGCATGAATGTTAACTATTCTATATTCGTCAAGTTAGATATGTTGCTTTCTAAACTTTGTGTTTTGTTTTAATGCTACTGCAGCAATAGATGGACGATACTTGTCTAACGAGGAATCTGGAAACTTATCAACGTTGTTTGATGTTGGAGGGGTAATAGGTGGAATCTTAGCAGGTTACATCTCAGATAAGTTGGATGCTAGAGCAATAACAGCAGCTAGCTTTATGTACTGTGTTATCCCAGCTCTATACCTATATCGAAGCTACGGACAAATCTCCATGACTATAAACATCATCCTCATGTTGATTAGTGGAGTGTTTGTGAATGGACCTTACGCGTTGATAACAACTGCTGTTTCAGCAGATTTGGGAACACATAGTTCTTTGAAGGGTAATTCGCGAGCGCTTGCAACTGTCACTGCTATTATTGATGGAACTGGATCAATTGGTGCTGCAGTTGGACCATTTCTAACAGGTTATATTTCAGCTGATAGCTGGAATGCAGTTTTTGTAATGTTGATGGGAGCAGCTTTAGTTGCTGGTTTGTTTTTGACTAGGCTTGTTGTAACTGAGGTGAACGGAAAGATTCAAGAATTGAGGTCTCAAGGATCATCTAGACCAATTATGTCTACTCATCTTCAAGTGTGATTGCCATAACATTGTGGTATAATGCAAATGCTCAATTTGGATATTATCAGCCTTTAGTTAGAGGGATAAAAAAGTGGAAATGATCAAATCAACTCAAGATGAGGATATGAATTCATCTTCATTTTAGTGGCAGAGATGAAAAGGTGGAAACCCTCATATCAACTTAAACATTTGTGAGATGGACTCTGAAAGGGCCAAAACTGGTTGACTCTTAAGATCATCATCACATATACATGTAAATTTTGTGTGCCTCCAACGGTTTTAATTTATATGTCTGATTTTAAAAACGGAGATTTAAAACATAAGAAAAGTTTTTGAATCTTGTAATTTTAAACTAAAGATACGTTAAATGTATCAAAAAGTTATTTAATCTTTATTATGTGGAACTAAAATGTTGTAACGAACAGAAAGATGCAATTTTCGAACTGATTAAAAGGAAAAGTAAGACGAACAAATTATACTGAAAGGAAAACTCCCTCCTCAGAAGTAGGATCAGCCAGATGTAGAAATCAAACTAGGCTATACAACTACCTAAACCAGACATCAATTCCTAAATACTAAGGATCAAATAAGGCTATACAACCACTTAAACCAGACATCAATTCATAAGTACTAAGCTTGCGTCTTTTTGACCTGTGATACGAAATCATAATTTAAAATTAATATTTAGATATGTAATTTGATAGCATGATCTGAAATTTCAAATCGTGATTTCAATTATTATTTCTAAATGTAAAACTAAATCCATAAATTTATATTTTATTAACAAAAAAGAAACTCATCATTTCAAATTTTGCAGAAAAAGACTGCATGAAAAACTATACGAAAGAATTATATTAAAGAATAACTAGTTACTACTATTATTAACTGGTTGATCTTTATAAAATTATGTGTATTTGAAAGTTCATACTCATAAACATTTATTTATAAAGGAAATATGAAGATTATGCAATTTAGTAATGTGTTGTTTTAGAATACTGATATCTTGTTTATGAACTACGGTTTGCTTATTCGGTAAGATGTATAACAATTAGAAAAATTTGATAATTCTCATAACTTGGGGGACTTGTTTATGAGGGAAAAAATACGACTTAAAAGGTTTGAATTGTTGTTCAAATAAAACTTCAACTTCAAATCATGATTTTATATTGCATGTCCAAAACGACCCTAACAGTAAACAAATCACAAAAAGATGGCTCGTCAAAATTACTTGTTGAATCCAACGGCTAGAGTGTACTTCATGTTTCAATAGGACATATGTGGATTGAAGGATTATTTTTTCTTCCCCTACCCAAAATAGTGGCGCTTGTCCATGCAATATCTGGGTTCGAACTACTAAGCTTTGAGTACGTCTATCAAATACATTATCAATCCAAAAAGCATCAGAGGACCATAAAAAAATCTTTATTCTTTACAAACCAAGGCCAGTGGACACACACACATAGTAACGCCTTGCCATTCAAGTAAAAAGCATCCGGAAAACATATCCAGGGTAGACCTATAGAATACCGTCTGGGGAGGGTAGAGTATATGTATCATAACATTGTTAATAAACTGTGATTAAAGGCAGGGAAATGTTAACAGAACGTATTCACACTAAAAACTATTTATGCACACACTATGGAGGCTTATGTAGACAATATGTTGCTAATAGTTAAGAGAGATAAAAGAGCAACAGTCGGATCTGTGGGGCTAAGGTTACGAGGGAGCATAACCTGAGGTTAAATCCAAGAAACTGTAGGTTCTAGGTGGCAACAGGTAAGTTTTGGGGAAATTTATCTCCAAACTCTGAACGAAGAATAAAGACCAAGCTTTGCAAAATTAGTTGGAGCCATCTAGGAAATGCAACTGCTCTGCACCACCAAAGAAGTTCAACGTTAACATACGGGATAATGACAATTGTCTATATATAGAACACTACTCAAGTATTACCAGTGGATAAAGGAAGGCGTTGAGTCTCATAACTTTCTGAAACAATGAAACAATCACAACTACTTCACACGAAACTTTCCTACTTATGGGACTAGATTTTGACAAATTGAACTGAACATGCATGCTAGAACCCATTTCATCCTCAAAAAATACTACAACATGTGTCCAATTTTAAGACGAGAGCTCCCATCAACTGTTGTGGAAATTACACTTACATCGGACAATTCAATATGAAAGAGTAAATGACATGTGCATTGATCAGTTAGACTAACATATGGCTTCAAATGCATTATCATTTGACCTAGTGATCTCTTGAAATGAAACAAACAAACAATTTTGGTTAAGTACCAAACGCATGAAATAAAGTGATTTTAAGATGTTGGTTTGCTAAGACCAATACATAATTGTCCCATTCCCGCAGAGCTAAATAACCACCACCCTAGCTAAAGCAGAAAATCTACAAGGCCATTTCAAATCTTGCACTTTACTCGCATCTACCAAGAGCAAAATGCACAAGCTTCACAAGTGGCTTGGCCCCTTCGCCTTTAGGAGTTGGCAGCAAAAGAAAGAACACCAACTCAGCAGGAAGTAGACGACGCACCAGATATAGCCAAAATGCCTTATACTAGAGTAAGAAAGCATGTAGAACAGGAAAAATGCACTTCTATCATTGATTCTCCCCAATAACTAGACAATAGAATTTAGAATCAATTATTCTAAAGTATGTCATTGCCTAAAGAATTTAGATTTCTCCTTTCACAACTCTGCCAAAAAGACCGGCTTTCTTACAGCTTGCTATCCTGCGGTAAGTAGAATACTACAAGAATAGTAGTGAGAACAGCTTTACTTGTGAAAAATCATTAAAACAAAAATGAGGACAACTAATCATCATTTCTTGGGAAGAAAATTTGTGATGACTACATTCTGGGGAAACTTTTTCTAGAGCAGATATTCCAAGGAAACGTTTGGCAAAGTCATATTCCTGTCTCAACAATTAATGGTGGCAAATTGTTGATTGGAAATAGATAAACGTTGCATGCGCATACTGTTTCTAATAGGATAAAAAGAAATATATAAGCTTATATTTAAAATACTATCCTCTGCTAGGTTTCATTGAGCTGATCTTTAACCAAGTCTGCCAGTGGCTGAAAACACAATATAAGAGAGCACTTTCATCTCATGACACTCTGAAGTCAAAACTTTAGAAGAGAGTGGAACAACAGAAATATCAGCAAAACAAACTAGGTATTGCTGCATACTGTATACATGTTACGGGTTCCTACTGCAAAACTCTCAACCCTTAATTACATCAATGACGGAGAGAAAAACATGAACTTTACAAGAGTTCATTATTTTGCATCTTGTCAGTTAGTCCCATCAAACAAACATCAGTAGAAATCAAATGTGATTAGCCAATTTTATACTGCCATAACCTTTGCAAAAGAGTTGTGTTGTGTTTTTTCCGTCAATAAACTAAAGACTGCCTAAGGTAGTGAACAATTAGTTATACACCAAGAATGCAACTGATTTGTCAAAGAGATGATCCTAAGATTCTACTCAACACTCAACAAAAATCATATTTACACAAGTAGCATGCGGAGAATACCATCAAAGATTCACTGCTGCAAATCAAATGTGGCTAATAAAGGTTTATATGATTCATAAGTAAGCATCAAAGTATTTGTGTGAGACCCAAATGAAAGAGCACTGTGTACGTCCAATGCCAGGAGTAGGTTGGAAAATGATTTTGCATTTTAAATTTCTACTACAGCAAGATGACTTATTTATCTGTTTCGTGTGGTTGTTGAGGATTGATATAGCCAACCCCAACTAGTCTGGGATCGAAGCACAGTGGTTACTATTGTCTTCTTTGACATCCTTATCTTCTCCTATATGAATGTAAAACTCCCCTGTTGTTTACAGTTCAAGTAGTTCTTAGAATTTTTTTGGGAAAATACATCATTACCCTCTCCTACAAGTTTTTCCCTTTTGCTAACTACGACCTAAAATTTGCGAGCATCTTACAACCCGTATAGACTTGTCTAAAGTGGAAATATTATCCCCTTATTTGCTAATGTGGAGCAAAGAGTGTATTAACTCAAATTGAGTTGCATGATGGAAAAAAAGAAGATACAGTTATGAAGCAACCATGTTGAACATAATGGAGAAGAGAACAGTAGCAACAAACACAAAATACGATAACTGAAGCAGAGTAATAATAAAATTGAAGAACAATAAAGTATCAATGTTATCAAAGGCGTGCTTTATAGCGTGCTTAATCCCTGAAGCAAGACACAAAACGGGTTGAGCGCTTCGCCTTGCTTAATGTGTGCTTCAATGTTGTCATCAAGGTTTAAGGCATACTTTTCCTCGCAAATGAGACACTTCTGAAGAGGCAAAACTAAATATTTAATATTTCACTTTATCATTAAAAAAATTTAATTAATTTGTTCATACATTTTACATTCATGCTAAACATATAGATTTACAAATTTTTTTCCCTTTGTGCCTTTTTTTCATTGAAGTTCATGCTTTACTTATGCTTTGCGCTTAAATCCCCACCAACCTTAAAGCTTTTTTGCATTAATTGTTTGTGATAACACTGGATAATATGTGAGAAATCATACAAGTAGATCATGGAAGCTAGATGACGCTCGACTACCTACTAAACTTTTATCCTAATCTTCGACCTCCAATACTTCTATATAGGGTTGGGAAAACACCATATTCCATTAAACTAGCTTCTCCTTCTTCTCATCATTTTTCATCAACTTCTTCACACCATTGAACAAGAATCCAAGACCACTTACCATGTAATATCCCATTCATCTTAAGCCATTCTCCATGGACACTTAGGGTGTGTTTGGTATGAAGGAAAATGTTTTCCATGGAAAATGTTTTCCTGGAAAACAAGTAGATGTTTGACTTATTTTCTCATGTTTGGTTGGTGAGTAGAAAATATTTTCCGGAAAAATATTTTAGTGTTTTTTTTTTGAGTAAAAAATGTTTTTGGGAAATATCTTTTATTTTTTACTAGAGTAGAAAATAATTCTTGAAGTTGAATTTTTTTTTTAAAAAATAAACTTAAATTTTTTTTCATGGTGGGGTGGGGGGGGGGGCTGGTAGGCGTTGGTGGGTGGGGGCTGGTAGGGGAGGGCTGGTAGGGTGGGTGGATAGGGGAAGGTTGAAAAAGAGTTTTGAAAAATGTTTTCCTTAAGTATTGAAGGGAAGTCATTTTCCTTCAATTTGAGGAAAATGAGTTGATTTGGAAAACATTTGACCCAACCAAACATGAGAAAATTGGAAAGCATTTTTTTTTTAAAGTAATTAAATGATATTAGAAAGCATCAAGAAGATGCGAAGTTACAAAAGCACCTTGTGCAAAAAAGTTGCTCCAAATAGAAAATATGGAGCTAGCTTGGCAAAAACTTGTGAAACAGTCAATAGGAAACCCTACTACTCTACTATACTAGAGATAGGGAACTAACAAAATCCGAAAGGTTATCCACACTGTTTACATTGGCATAAAAGTGCCAGCTAAATAAACTAACTAGACATTGGGCTTTAAGAGTGCATAAAGAGGTTGATATTCCATTAAAGCATCTGTTGTTTCTCTCTTTCCATATGCTCCAAAAAATGGCTGCTGGGATCATTCTCCAGATCTTTCTGATGGATTTGTCAACTTTCCACAATATCCAGCTGGCTAGGCATCCTTCATGTTGTAGGGCATTACACATTGTAGCCCAAGCATAGAGTAGAAATAATACTATAAGCTAATTGTTGCAGGGCAGTGCAAAAAAAGGTGATTAACACTCTCATTGGTTTGCTTGCACATGACACATCTGTTGATGAGGATTACACCTTTTTTTCCTGAGGTTGTCTTGTGTTAGACATGCTTCCTTCAAGGATGTCCAGGTGAAACAAGAAACTCTGAGGGGTTGCCGAGTTTTCCAGACATGTTTCCAAGGCCAAATTAGTAGAATGCCATTCTGGGAGCCCAAATTTTTGTAACATTCTTTCACAGTGTAATTCTTCTCCTTAGAATTACCCCAAAGAATCTTGTCTTGATCTTCGACCACCAATGTAGTGTTTTGCAGAGTTTCTAAGAGGAAAACGAGGTCATTAATCTCCCAATTTTGGAAGTTCCTTCTGAAAATAGGTGTCCAATGATTGTTGTCTTTGTACTAGGCTATAGTTGCTTCTTTGTTGGAGGCTATCTGGAACAAGAAGGGGAAATAGACTTTTAGCCTAGAGTTCCCAAGCCATATGTCTTGCCAAAATCTGATCTTGAGTCCATTACCAGCCTTGAAGGATACTTCCTCGAAGAAATTATCTTTGAAACTGCTTATGTGTTTCCAGACCCCAACACCATAGGGTTCAGTGCCATTGGACACCAGTGATCTTGAATGCCATATTTAGCCTTGATGTCTCTCCGAAACCCAACCTCAGTTTGTCCATATCTCCAGAGCCACTTCATGAATAAGCTCTTGTTGAGAAGTTGCAGATTTCTGATTCACAAGCCTCCTTGAAACTTAGGTTGAGTTACTGAGTTCCATTTAACTAGATAGTACTTGTGAGTGAGACTATTTCCTTCCCATAGAAATCTCCTTCTGAGCCTATCTATTTGTTTCAAAATTGAACCTGGTATTGGAAATAGAGACATGTAGTACGTAGGAATACTATCTAGTACACTGTTGATGAGAGTGAGCCTACCTCCCATGGAGAGGTATTGTTTTTTCCATGTAGCAAGTCTCTTTTCCATTTTTTCGATAACTCCATTCCAAATTCTAGAAGATTTGAAACTTGCCCCCAAGGGAAGACCTAGATAGGTGGTGGGTAACGATCCTATTTTGCAACTAAGTATGCCAGCAAGTTCCTCTAGATTTTCCACCTGATTAACCGGATATATAGCACTTTTGAGCATGTTAATATAGAGTCCAGATATAGCTTCAAAAACTATAAGGGTGGTGTTTAGATTGGAGACTTGTTGCCTGTCAGTTCCACAAAAAATGAGAGTGTCATCCGCATAAAGAAGGTGAGATACATTGACAGTGGTGGCTGGATTGCTGCCTACTTGAAATCCTTGAATCCATTGAAGTTCTTTAGCCCAAGATAGTAACTGAGATAGTCCTTCCATAGCCAGAATGAATAGATAAGGAAAGAGTGGATCCCCCTGCCTCAACCTCTTTTGAGTAGAGAAAAATCCAACTGGACTTCTGTCGATAAAAACTGAGAACTTCACTGTTGAAATGCAGAAGTATATCATCTTATCCACCTATCACCAAATCCCATTTGTTTCAGTATATTGACTAGATAGGCCCAGTTAAGTTGGTCAAAGGCTTTCTCTATGTCCAATTTACATTAGATCCCAGACTCACCACTCTTGATTCTCCAGTCTAGCACCTCATTAGCAATCAAGGATGCATCAATTATTTGCCTATTCTTTAAAAAAGCACTCTGCTGCCCCGAGACTAAAGAATTCATCACCCTTTTCATCCTTTCTGCTAGGATTTTAGCCAAAAACTTACAAACACTGCCTATGAGGCTTATAGGCTGATAGTCATTAAGCTCTACAACACCTTTCTTCTTTGGGATTAGAGCAATAAAAGAAGCATTACAAGACCTCACCATTTGGCAATTCTGGTGAAAGAAATTGAAAGCTGCTAGTATATCCTCTTTAATGAAACACCATGATTTTTGGAAGAAAGCCATGGTATAACCATCAGGTCCTGGGGCTTTGTCAGGGGCACAAGCCATAAGAGCATTAGAGATCTCCAGTTCAGTGAAAGGAAGTTCAAGTTCCTCCTTTTCTTCTATACTTAGGGTGGACATGTTATCAAAAACAGTTGAGGGTCTCCAGGATTCAGCTTCCTTGTATATTTGCTGATAATACTCCAGAATGCCATTCTGTATCCTTCCTTTATCTTCAATTAGTTCATCTCCTATTCTCAGTCTGTCAATGGAATTACCCGTTCTATATGAATTAGCCATTCTCTGAAAGAACTTTGTGTTCTTGTCCCCCTCTTTAAGCCATAAGCATCTAGATTTTTGCCTCCATGAGATCTCTTCAACTATTCATCTTCCCTTTCCATTACCAAGGACTACGAGCCTTGTCAGCAAACACAGGGTTTGCCAATATTGGAGTTCCACTGGTTCTTTGCGTGCCTAAACATGGTAGTTTCTTCATGGATATTCGTACTACGATTGTTCCTGAAAACAATTTGTGAGCAATTGGCATGTCATGAGACAAGTTTGTGTTTGGAGTTTGGAGAAGAAGATGAAATCTTAAGTGGGCAGGGTTGAAATCAAAGAAAACGAAAAGGAGAAGATGGTAGAATAAACAACTGAAAAAGAAAGCACAAGTAAAGTTTGGTAAAAGAAAACTGACATGAAACTAGGTGGTAGCGCGTGAGTTACACTGGCCAGCTTAAATTTGATTCTTGTTCCCTCAGGGTGGTTATAATTCCACTTCAGACAAGTCTAGAGGTCATAAGACCCATTTTTTTCACAAAAACAAAAACAAATAATCATGGTTCCCACCATAAACCTAAAAACAATTTGCAAAAACTTTTAAAATGTTATCATTTTTACCCAATCCTCTTTTTTTTAAGAAAATCATCTTTCCATTTATTATGTAAAAGAATTCTCATAGGCTACCAACTTAGACTTTTATAATACTAATAAATCACATAATAACCCAAGTTATTTTTATTTCTTTCTTGTTATGCATTTTCCCAAAATGTACAACAATTATTTCTCTTGACTAATCATTTCCTTTCTTTTTGATGGCCTAGAAAAGGTTTGGGGCCAATCCTTAGGGCCAGCCGCAGCCCAAATGGCCTTGTCCCTCTACCTTTCTCCACTTAAATGCAGGTTTAGTTTGCATTGCGCAAGGCTCAAGCCTATGACCAAAGTCACAAATCCCACATAACCTTTGCCACTTGAACTAAGTCCTGAGGGCTTCTCTTGAACTAATCCTTAACTTTATATTTATATGATTCGCCAGGCAAATACATGTTTTTTTTGGATGCAATGTTTACATCATAATGGAGTTGTAGCAAATGACATGGGTCTAGGTGATACTTGTGCAAAATCATGGCTTGCAATTTAGTTTATATTTTCAGAAAACATCCATAACAGTCAACTGTTTCAGAAGATAGCTTTTGTTTTTCACACTATAATCTTACAAAAACTTTTCCAAAAGATCTTTCAAAACAGACACATTAAAGATAGACTGTTTTTACCACCCAGAAACTGCACTCTCTTCAGAGCATTAAGGGCTCACAAAGCACACATATCTGACGGTCAAATAATTGGACAAAACACATCACCAAATAGGTAATAGCTGTTGAGCAGTGTCAGTAACGAGGAAAGACATTCCAAAAGTAATCATGCTTATTATGTTCTGAAAAATCAAGTGAAGCTAGATGGCTGAGTCCCAATTAGGAAATGAGATGGTATCCGCACCCAAACAATATTCCAAAAGTTCTCTTGTCAGACTATCGAAAATTATCCTTCTGCTGTAAATTTCATGTGAAAGGTCAAAATGTAGATAAATCTTAACCAATAAATCATTACTATATGGAAACAGCCTAGCAGAAAAATATACAACTATTTAGATACTTCCTAGGTTTCCAAATTAACAAAATTAGATTGCTGGTAAACATTCCACCAGGATGGATGCATAGCAACGCAAATTCCTCAAGAAATATATTGTACAGATATTCTGATTTAACACAAAAATTATTACTTAACAATGTATTATGATTGATCTCTGTCTAAATTCAAAAATTGCCAGCGAAGACTGGTCTACAATTTGAATTCTCCGCCTCAAACAGGAAAGGAGAATTGGTCTAACGGTGTGTTTGGTATGTAGGAAAATGTTTTCTGGAAAACATTTTCCTATTTTCTTTTGTTTGCTTGCAACAAAATGTTGGGAAAACATTTTCTTAAACGACTTGTTTTCCTAAAATCAGCGGAAAACGACTTCCGTAAAAAGAAGCTGACGCGCAACAAGCAAATTTCACCCCTCACACAAGTGCTTGCATCCGTTCCTATTGAACAACAAAGTAGATTTTCGTGGTCGAAAAGGCACAACAACACAAAATGTATTGGCTGCCATCAACTTTAATTTGAAGTTCACGTATGTACCAGCTGGTTGGGAAGGATCTGCTCATGACTCGCATATTAAATGATGCATTAGAGAGACCACATGGGTTTCAAATCCCCCAAGGTATCTTATTTAATCTAAAATAGTTTATCAAAAAAATTAGGTGGACAACGTATATTAATTAACTATATCATGACTTTGTAGATAAATTTTATCTTGGAGATGCGGGATATGGACTTCGTAAGGGATTCATTCCTCCTTATCATGGAGTACGCTATCACTTACAAGAGTATAGTGATCGTCCACCCAAAAATGAAAAGGAATTATTCAATCTTCGGCATGCATCATTGAGATCCTCAGTTGTACATGCCTTTGCTATTCTCAAGCGACGATTTCGTGTAATTGATAATGAACCCTTTTGGGACTTTAAAACTCAAGTGGATGTGGTATTAGCTTCATGCATTTTACATAATCACATAATTGATTTGGAGCCTAACGACATGATAATTCAAGAAGTAGATGTGGAACCACTAGTTCAACCTCAAAATGTTCAAATTACTCAAAGCTCTCAAGGGAGTCAAAGCTATCAAACCCAAAGAGAGAGGCGTGAAGAAGCTAGAGAATGGTCGTCGAAAAGAGATGCCATTGCTCATGCCATGTTTACCGATTATGATAGGAGGAGGAATAGGACACTTTAGTGTATTAAGATGTCTGACTGGAATTAGATGTTCTTAAAGAGTAGGTATAACTATCAAGTCAAAGTTCATGATTAAATTATTAGATGGCCTGATTTGGTGAACTGTATCTTGCTGTTTTTAACATAATTGTTGTTTACTTTACCATTGGCTATAGTAGCAGACAGATTTCTTTGCATTATTGTTTGCTTCTGTTTGTTGTCAAAGAGTCATTTGTTTTACCAGTTATGGGATTAGATTGAGAGTAATACGTTTTTGTAGTGTCTACTTCAAAGTTTTGACTTCCCTGTTGAATGTTTATTCTTTACTGGTCACTTTGCTGAAATTGATTTATAGAATCATCCGAATATTGTGTTCATTGCTCTAAAAATTGGTTGTGATCATTGTCCTTTATTTCACTGTCCTTTATTTCCTTGTATGGATGTTAATCACCCTGCTCCCTACTTGTTCATTATGTTGGAAGTAGGAAAGTAAACATTCTTATGAATGTTATATGAGTGACTGCCTATATTGTGATATTACTTTTCTCGCATGAAAAAAGTTAATTTCTAGTTTTAAAGTGGTTGTTTGAATCAGATTTTTAAACAAAAGCCTCAACTTGGAGAGTGGGGGAGTTTTTCTTATGTTTGAATGTTTTCTGTAACAGTAAATAATGGGCAAAAAAGGAGAGAAGCAGTTTAGGTGGTCAAAGCCAATGGAATATTTGATGTTGGAGATCTTAGCGGATGAAGTGAAGTAGGGAAATAAATCAACCAATCAGTTTAAGGTTATCTCATTCAATCGTGTTTTGAATGCCATTAATGAACAATTAGGAATGGATTGTTCTCCAAAGCATGTGGAGAATCATCTCAAAACGCTAAGAAGCACATGGAATATAGTGCAAACTCTACTAAACAAAAGTGGTCTTGGATGGGATGACAACATGAAGATGATTATTGCCAGTCCCAGAGTGTATGCAATGCATATTCAGATAAGGTTTGTTGTAATCAGTATTGACGTCGTTTATGCAACTCTATGAATATTCAAGATATTCATGAAATATCTTAGGTATTAGTTTTGACTTGAACTTTGTTTTTTTGTTTGTGAGAAATAAAAGAGTTGAGGCTTAAGTTTTATAGGAAAAGAAGAAAAGAGAGAGGGGGTGGTTTTAGTTCTATATTTCGACATTTCATGAAGTTTATGTTATAATTGTGTTATATGTTGATGTCTCTTGTTTAATACCATATTTTTGTCATTTATATTGTAGGCGCTTCCTAGTCATGATAAGTTCATAAACAAGAAGATTGATAAGTTTGAAGAAATGTCTCTTGTCTGTGGGAATCATCGAGCTAGGGGTGATTGTGCTAAGTCGTTTAAAGATATAGGCTTGGATTGTAGTTCAGAGAAAGGTAATGAAGATGAGATTGAAGGACCATCTAAGGAGAATGGAATGCAAGATGTGAGTGAAACTTCTCAAGTCAAGTCAAGTCGTAAAAGAAATCGTCCTTCTGATGTGCAAGAATGTGGTCGGTGATATTTCAACAAAACTTGGAGGTGGCAGCAGCAATAAGTAAAAAGCTGATAGCCGATTAGATGTGACAAGGTTGTATGAAGAAGTTATGGCAATTGAAGGTTATGGGGAAGAGTTCTTAGGGGATGCTTTTGACTATTTGGTACAAAGTGATACTTTAGCTAAGGGATTCATGGCTAAAAATCAAAATCTTAGTAAGGTTTGGTTGGAAAGGTTCAAGAGACTACATAAATAGAATATATAAGTGAATAGGAAGAACATAACTCTATATAGTAGTACTATTATTAGAGGACTTGATATCTTTTTGCTTGAATTTGATTTGTGTGCTTGAGACAAAGTTGTTTTACATGTTTACAAATTGTTAGTTTGTTGAGTTAGTGGTGTTATTGAAATAAGTATTCACAATTATATTATTATGATATGTTTGTACAACTTACTGTTTGATATGTGTGTGGTGTACAGAGATGAGCAATTGTGCACAATAATGTGAAAAACTTCAAGGCTCACTGTATAGTATAGTGTTAGCTAAAAGCATGTACTAATGTATGGTACGCTGTTTTCAAGTTATTTTTTGATTAAAACGACAGTTCGATACATAAAATATCTTATATTCATTGCAAAATTGGAGATCTTATTTTAAAGAATTAGTACTTGATAGTTTGTGTAGAAATAATAGAAAAATATCAAGATATAGTAAGGAGGGGGTTGGGGGTGAAAGAGCATAGAAAATTATTTTCCTAAAACAATTCCTCACTCACCAACTAAAGGCTAGAAATTGTTTTCCGAAAAATGTTTTCCACTCATTAACCAAACATAAGAAAATAAGTTAGAAATAACTTGTTTTCCTAAAAAACATTTTCTATGAAAACATTTTTCTTCGTACCAAACACCCTAAATCCTGCTAAACCTTGACGCCTAACTAGACCGTCGAGCACCACCCACAGCAACTAACATAATTACACAAATTAAGCAATATTAACAAAAAGGCGAACAAAAATCATCATTATCAGCTCATATTTACTCGAAGATTTCACTCTACCATCAAGCATGGTGTACAGATCACAAAATTAATGATTGTTTGAGTTACTGTTGGAATTATTCGAATTCACATTTGAAAGGAAGAAGAATTTGTTAACCTGAAATAAGGAGAGTGAATCTAAAGACGATCGCCAGGCTTAGGAGGTTTGCGATATTTCTCTTCTACATCTTTGGCTTTGAATAATGCATTCTGTATAAGCTTGTTAATGTTGGGGACGTTGTAGTTCTGAGCTATGTAAATACCGCAAACAGTTCCTGCTATCAATGAGAAACTGCTCCTTATAATCCCCATCACCTTCTTCCGATCCCGCAACTACTCAAAACTTGAATTTGCAGGTCACCTTCTTCTACTCTGGGAGTTGCCTTGGACTTGCTATTTTTAAAAATTTGAAGGGCTTATGGCATAAATATCCCTATTTTGGTAGTTGTTTTAATTTTTGCCCCTCAAAAATGCTGATTTTTAACTTTTATCATCAACACTTAAGTATATAAAAAAAATCAAAAATGTAAATGAGAGTGAAAAAAAAAGTCACAAAGAAATAAGTATATTAGCTTTAATAACACAAGTTATATCTCATAGCATAAGGTTAGTCCAAGATACAAGTTTAGTGGGGCATGGAGCAAACTTCTAGCAGCCCAATTTATGCAATATGTCACAAGTTAAATTTCACAAGTCATACTACACTACATATGTTCAATGGCACAAGTTATACTACACTACATATGTTCAATGGCACAATTTATGCGTCAATGAGAGTTTTCTAAAAAAAGAGAAGTATTGAAAACACATCTGAACTTGGCCTAAATTATTAGTTTCATCTCTAAATTTTTGATAATCTTAAAAATATTCATCTACTTAATTAACTGATCTTAAATACACCAATCCAATCTATCACATCGTATAAAAAGTGATTTCAAAATCTTATAGGAGCATGAGACTCTTACAAAAAAGTCGAAAAAAATGTTGAAAACAACCCTAAATTTGCCTAGAATTTAAAAGTGTATTTCACCAATGTAGCAAAATCAAGAGTGTATTTCACCAATATGACAAAATCAGAGTGGAATCAAGTTTGATTACCCAAGTAAAGAGATATTGTTAGGATTGTCAATAATTGAGAAACAAAACTAAAAATTCAAATCAAGTTCAAAAGTATTTTAATACTTCTCTCAAGTCTTAGAGCCTGTTTGTCTCAGCTTAAAAGCTGGTCAAACTGACTTAAAAGCTGGTTTTTGACTTATTTAACTGTTTGACAATACTCAAAATAGCTTATTTTAAGTTAAAAAAAACGTATTTTAAGCCAAAAGTTAAAAGCTGGGGTAGGGGTGCTTTTTTTTTTAGCTTATAAGTTGTTTTAAGTTGACCATATTATTATGTTTTTTCCCTTAATATTTTTATACAATATCCAAGTTACCCATATAACCCTAGCATCTCTTTCTTCTATTTTTCCCTTTTCACGTTTGGCATAACAACTTCAGCACTTTTATCCAAACGCATAACTGCTTATTCTAAAAATAAGTTTCAGCACTTTCAAAAATACTTTTTTAAAGCTGCTTTTATTAAGCCCATCCAAACGGGCCCTTAATATGTGAATCAAAAGTCGTGTTTAATTAATGCAAAAGTCACTTAAGGCAAAACTATAGTTACTAATATATGATGGGCCCATTGAGTTGGTTTGGCCTACTTGTGATTTAATACGAAAAATTGTATATAATGGCAGATTAATAAATTAAATTAAATGCTATAATCACATTTTGATTTAATTGTGTCATGTAGCAAACTGTTGTTAGTCACCTCTTTCCCTCAAACTCTCGCCCACTACTCTCCCTCTCTCGCTCCATATCTTTCTAGCTCCCTCTCACTTTTATACAACACAAGTGTATAAAATGCATTTCTGTTTGAATAAAACAAGAAATTTGTATATATACATATATTTTCGTTCCCCTCTTCGAGATCTCGCTCGCCACTCTCCCAAATCTCGCTCGCGACCCTCGTCTCTATCGCTTATACGAACAGAAACGAAATGTTTAAATTGTGTTTTTGTTTGTATAAAGCGAGAGAAAATTGTATATACACCTTGCTAATACATATATCTTCGTCCTATACACTTATAATTATAAAATACAAATATTCTCCTGCCCAATTTTCTTTTGTCTTTCTCTCTTCCTTGTTTTATATATACACATATTATACAATTGATTTGTATAAAACTGTTTCCTTTTGTATGTGCATAGTGAATTATACAATTTTTTTTTTTGTATATGTATAGCAAATTATACATATTTAAGTTTGCATAATTTACAATTGGTTTTTTTGTATATGTATAGCAAATTATACATATTTAAGTTTGCTACGAAGCGCAATTATGCAAACTTTGTTATAGCATACAAATATGAATTTTATGTTTTTTATATGTGAAAGTTGCTCGATTTAATATGGTTGACCAAAAAAATTGAAGTTTATTTAAGAACAAGACTTTTTAGCGCGAAACAAGTGAGCCCGCTGGTCCATTGGGCTTAAGTAATTTGGGTTGGACCATCCATGAGTCAACTAAAAATAATTAAAAATAAAAATAGAATACTAAAATAAGTAATAGCAGAAGGACTAGAAAAAGTGTAAATCGACTAGCAAAGAACTAGACTAAACTATAAAAACTATCAACTCTCTTCAACTCAAATCTAACATCTATATATAATAATGATGATCCAAGAATTCTAAGTTAGACCGTCGACATACTTCACGATCCCATCCATGGTTGTTGATCAATGTGCGGGTTATGAATCTTACTTGCATCACCATGGACTGCATATTAGGGTTTCTTGAACTTATGTTAAAGATTTGTTTTGTGTGCCTGGATAGCATTCACGGTCTATTTTGTCTGTTACAAACTCAATTAAGATCTTCAGCTTTATATATTTGATCGTCAGTTGGTTTGACAATTATATTTTTCTTTTATGTTTTGATAATCTTGTAGGTTCCTAAATGACATTCTCTATGATTTTTCACAACCTGGTCTTTGGTATGTTGATTGATATGCAATCATGATTTCAATCGTAAGCATTCAAAATCAACAACTTAATTGTACTTTTCATTAATTTACCATTTAATATGAAAAATCTACAAATCAATAAAATGACATAAAATAAACTAAATATAAGCATAAAAATGATGAATACATTAAGTAAAAGACATAAGGTGTATTATAAACTCAAGGCACATCACTACCTTCACGACTTTTAAATTGTCGGATTGTATCAATAACTATAGAAATTAAAGGATTGCAAAGTATAAAGTACAAAATTTGTCTTGAGTTTTTTTTTCTTTTTGTCAAATAATATATCCAAACATGATGATAGAAACACGTAAACTAACCGCATATATTAACAAATGATGCAATTTATTAGGTTCATTTGGTAGAGTGTATTAGCAAAAATAATGGATGTATAAGTAGTCTCTTGTTTGGTAGACTTTTTCATGTTAAGTACTCCATCCGTCTGGAATTGTTTGTCATAGTTTCTATTTTTAGAGTAATAGTAAAAAAACTTTGACTAACAATTTAAAGATGTATTTTCATCATATTAATATACAAAAAAATGTATTTATAGTACTTTTCATATAATTATAGAATATTTAATTTTTTATTTAAAATACCGAATTAATGTGATCTAATTTAACTTTTAAAATGAGTCAAATTGACTTTTGAAAAACGTGACATGACAAATAATACATGACGAAAATAGTATAACTTATAATTGCATTTGTGTATTGAGGAGTGTTGAATTCATCCCATTGTTTTAGTCAATTTTAGCTATTCAATTGGTACAAGCAATTGTTAAAAATGAATAGTAATTGGAGTTGAAAAGAAAAGATTTGGTAGTTGGCAAATTGGTAAGATTTGCAACCATTTTTGACTTT